ATCTGATGAAATAGAAAGATATAACTTTGAAAATGGCCTCATTCTGAATAGAAAAAAAAACAGTTATATACGGTTTTTGCTATTAACATAAATCCAAATTATGACCTACACGTGACCTCATCTGGTAGATCTATACAATCTATGGAAATATCAAGTTCCTGGGTGTCACTTTGGATAGTAAGCTAATATGGGAAATACACATAATAATAATAATAATCTTTATTGGTTTCAAAGACCTAAAAGGTATAAAACTAGTCAAAAGAAATTTGAACATAGATTAGGCAAACAATACATGTACTTTAAAATGCTATAAGGAACAAAGAGAGTTCACTACGAAGATAAGAACTCGTCCATAGTTTAAAACGAGTTATCCAGTAAGTATGTTTTCAGCGTTTTTCTGAATCTGAAGTAAGATGCCTCCTGATCGATTTTTGTCAATAGGTGGTTGTAAACCCTAATTCCATTGGAAATGGGGTTGTTTCGGGCTTTTGGCCCATCATCAGTATGGTGCAGTCAAGTGTAAGGATGGGCAACACTTGGTTACCAAAAGAGAGAAATACAAATGCACGGAGCCACCAACAGGAGCCAACCGCACATTTGTGGTTTCAGTTGATAGATCTCGTGTTCACAAGATATAAGCAAACAATGTGTATTATTATAAGTTATCTCAAAGTGGTTTGCATGATTCCCTCTGATTTTTATTTAACATTGCACGTATGCTTTTTTTTTGTACTAGGAATAGTTTTTGTGCTGACGTGCACAAAACGGCCCTATTTGAGAAAAAAGAAGCGCTGTTCCATCAAGACATTGCGCCGTGTCACAAATCAATGAATATGATGGCAAAATTGAGTGAATTGGGCTTAGAATTGCTTCCTCATCCACTGTATTCTCCAGATCTGCCCCCTATCGACTTTTTTCTGTTCTCAGTCAAATCGTATCATGAAAGCGGTATCGAAAAATCGTATGACCGCTACAATCATTGTATTGTCCTGGAAGGCGACTATATTGGATGAAAAAATCAAATTTTATCAAAAACATGTTTTTTCTATGCCTATGAACTTTTCAGCCCAAATTCCCCATAAGAAAAAAGATATAATATATTCAATTGTACCTGGTCATTCAGTGAGTTTTCATAAATCTCAAATCTTTTTACTTTTAAGCATTCCAAAAGATTTAGTTTTAAACGTTTCTCGTTCAAATACAAAATATAATCACGGTTGAACTCGTGGAATTGGTCTGAATATTTAAAAAACTGCATCTGTGCTCTTTTATTCTTTGGGAAAAGGTCCTCTCCGTTTGGCCAAACTGAAGTTTTTGAAAAGAACCACAAGTCAACTTATAATATAATATAAGTGTAATATATTATATTACACTTTCAATATAACCAACTCTTTTTAATGAAATTGTTCAAACAAACATTTGTTCTGTAAAACCGAGATTATGTTAATTATCATTATTATTATATATACTTCATTGTCCAAAGAAAAAATTTTGTTGACAAAGTTAGTGGATGAATATAAAAGAATACATGAATGTCTTATGAATATAAAAATATAGATAAAATATAATGTAAACTAACTTATTAAAATGCTGAATAAAAAACCACAAACAATAGTTGAAACATACATACATATAAAACATTCTACGTTAAATTTTTCTTTCTTTAATAATTTTTCCGTACTGATTGGTATCAATATTTATCTCTTTAGTGTAACTCTGCAGATGGTTATACATCTTCACACCATTGTAAAATAAGGAGGCCTTGACCAGAGAGTTGCAAAGGATAGGTAATTTTAAATTTTTTTGCCTGCTCTGACGACTTGTATAGTGGTGGTGGTAACCTCAAGTTTCACAAGATGTTTCTTAATCAAACACACTGTCTCCAGAATAAAAAGAGCTACAACTGTCAAAAAGTTTTTATCTATAAACAGTTGCCTGCATGAGTCACAAGGTTTAGGTTTGCACAAGTATCGTATAGCTCTATTCTGTAATACAAATACAGACTCTAGCAAATTGAGGCTACACACACCCCAAAGAGGTATACCGTACCTAAAGTGAGACTTTACCAAAGTGTGATATGCTGTTTTCGCAGTATAAACTCCCAGTTCTCTAGCAATAACTCCCACTGCATAACAACCGGTGGAAATTTTACTTTTCATTTTTCTGATGTGAGCGTCAAATTTCCGTCCACCGTCTATATACAGTCCCTGAGATTTAGTACACTCTCTGTTCTCAATGATACCGCTCGCTACAGATAAATTCTGAAATGAACATTTGAAAGTCATAATAGTTTTAGAAATATTAATGGAGATTAGATTGGAATCTCACAAAGACTTGGTTTTTTGTATATCATGAGCTATTGTCTCATTGAATATATCTATACCTTTACTATGCCACAATATAGTGGTGTCGTCAGCAAAAAGAGTGAATGTTCCAGATACACTTATGTTCATCAAATCGTTAATATACAACAGGAACAATATGGGACCGAGAACCGATTCCTGTGGTACACCAGTGTTTATTTCAATACTGTTTGAACATTTAATCGTTTTCACAATCTAACTGCGACCATTGAGATACGACTCAAATCGTCGTAGTGTTATCCCTCGACATCCATAGATATTCAGCTTACGTAGCAGTATTTTATGATCAACGCAGTCAGTTACTTTTGTAAGGTCACAAAACACTGCTGTAGCAGCATCTCCATCATTCATATTGGAATACACCTCAAAAAGGAAAGAGAATATTGTATCATGTGTGCTCTTGTTGCTCTGGAATCCAAACTGATTTTTCCCCATAATGTTATGGCAAAGGAGAAATTCATTACGTCTTTTCTCAACTAGTTATTTCCAGATTTACCATCCGTAATATTAGCCACGAACACTTTCCTTGTCCCTTCCACAGCCATGTGGTGGTACTACACCATTCCACACAATCGTATATATTCATCTTCTTTATGTTTTCTTTTCAATTTTAATGGCTGGAAATCGATCGAACGTCATCATTTGCATAATTATTTAATTTCAAAGTCAATGAAATGATACCTTTTAATGGGTTTCCTTTATCGGTGCCGACTATAAAATGTTAATCAAAATCGTACCAGTTTTTATCGGCAGTGAATTCAACTTTATGGCCGACAATGTTTTAATTTGTTGCCGCTGTGTTGTCTAAGATATGACCGGTATGATTATAATTTTTGGCTCATATCCACCAAGTAATTGAATAGGGACTGAGATTTTAAATGTAGTCAATTTACTACTTATGAAATTATCACTTTCTTCATTATTGTCTTTTCCTTTCTAATATTTTTTCAAAAGCAAAACCCGAGCACTACAGTTCTTAAGCAGTGTTCGAGGTGTACTGAGTTGAACCTCAAAACGATGAGAACCCACAGTCCGTCGCTTATTTCTTTTTTTTCTTCTTCTTTCTAGTTTTAATTAAGCAAACAATGTGTATTATTATAAGTTATCTCTTACTGGTTGGATGGAAGAGCAATTTCTGCCTTGATTCGTCATGCGCAGACGTTGAATTCTGCCATTTGTTAGGTTAGATTAGTATCCCTTGTACTGAGTAACATTTCAATAAAAGCATTTATTATTATTATTATTATTATGTACCGCTCTCGGTGGAATCAAATATGTCAAGTTACTTGAACACCCCCTGTGAAAGTATCTATAAACGAGAGATGAATCTCCCACTTTTCTTTGATGTTCCAGACTACCAAGGTTGGTTTATTGTAACTTATACAAAAAATAATTGTATAAGTTTGAAAATGTCCGTATAGGATGAAACTGCAGCATGTTAGTTACAAATAAAAGTGGTAAAAGACATAGAGAAAGTTTTATTTTTCTTTTATGTATTATAGTTATCACTTATCACCTCAACAACAATCAGGGTTCAGGCCAGGTTATAGTTGCGCGACAGCCATGGCTGATTTGTTAGATGGCATCATTGATGCTAATGATATAAATAAAGTAAGTATGTTGATTTTTCTCAGAGGCATTCGACCTAATAAATCATAATCATAACACATTCAGTATGTATGTTAATGACTCCATACTTACATAATAGAACACAGTTGGTAAAATTAGATGATGAAGAGTCAACGTGTAACTTTCAGGAGTCCCCCAGGGAAGCATCTTTGGGCCACTTTTATTTACACTTTATACTTCAAATTTTGTAAATGTTCTAAGATATTGTAGCTATCATTTTTATGCCGACTATACTCAAATATATTATTCTATCAATCTAATAGATCTTGAGTTATCAGTGGAGCTGATACGATGATTTTAGTTCGTTATATCAAATTTCAACTGGTCATGCTCTGAAAGTAAATCTAAGAAATCAGTGGCTTTGATATTTAGTATTTAACAACGCTATGCTATTCTCTAGGACTATCATATTTTAATCACTGCGATGAAATGTATAGCCCTTATTTAAATTGCTCAGAAATACGTCGTATCCAGAAAATTCAGTACTGATGCAATCTGAACATTCGTTCCTACATCAATAATATCTACAAACTTGATAGTTCACTTTTGAATTTACCCAGAAAAAAATTTAGCCATAAATTCAAAGAGTATTTGCTGAGCATTCAGTAAATCAAACTTAGAATCTGGAACACTATCTATTTCGTTACTTTTCTACAGACCTTATTTTCCTTTTCATCTTTTGACTGATTTCCACTATTCTTCTGTTGTTTTTCTCCCTATTTCAAATAAAATCTGTTGAAAATTACTCACCTAAATTGTTATTCACAACCTTACAGTGCATATCTCGTGTATTATTACTTTATATTATATCTTCAGTTACATTATTGCAACATTTGTGATTTGTAAAATGTTAAACAATGAAATTATAATTATTACCATTATTATTATAATTATGCATGAAAAAATTGAGTATTCACAAAGTTTTTATAATTTTTGAGCAGATTTCATTGTTATAACTGAAATTTTGGGATACAAGGAGTGGGCTGGGTCGTGAAATTGAAAACACAGTTTATATAAGTACACAAGATGTAGCATTTAATGCTCACGTTTCAAAAAAACACTATACAGAGGACACGGCGTTACCAAATTAGTTAGGAGGTATCTCGTCCCATAATCGTTTATAATATTAATATATACTTTCATTAAAAAGCAGAACACAATTAAAGATTCCTCTCATACTTATATAACATAGAGGTACGATATTCTCTCATTGATCTGTATTGATTTTTCAAATTTTCGTATACATTGGATAAGGCGATGATTCATGATGGAAATCACTCAAAACGAACAGCCAACATTCTTAATCGGAGGTATATTTACAATAAAACAGGGGGTAGGGTGAGGCGGGGGAGGGGGCCCTTTTTGGAGGGGCGTCGTCGGTATACAATGTAGCTTAGGCGTTAAATATACTTAATACAATATATACAATATAACTCCAGTATATTAGATCAAAAACTATAAAAGGGTCTCGTTCAAAATGGTATACAACAATACCCCCACCTCTCACCTACACCTTCAACAAAGGTAACGAAAAATACGTAAATATAAACATTCAAAGGTTAGTTCACGTCTTTATTCAAAAGTCGCAACGGCTTCCCGAATCGAAAGTAGGGCTAACTTAATCTTACAATGAATCGTACCTCCTAATTCACACTCTCGAAATTGTTTTATAAATGTTTATTGCACGATATGACTCCTTCCGGAGCAGGAACCGTTGCAACTTTTGACGTTCAGCGAGAATGTCTTGGCTATGCGTCTAATCGCCATTAGTATGCGATAATAATAATAATAATAACCTACATAACATCACTAACTTCGTATACGTCTGTGTATGACGTTAAGACGAATAGCCATAGTTTTTGCCTCGCTTTAGAGGTATCTTCAGATCATCCTGAGTTTTTAGATAAATAACAACATTAACAACATAACCTGAAAAGTTAACCGGGATCAGTTTTGACGATCCGAAGATAGCTCCTAAATTTTCTGGCAAGTAAATGATCACTTTCTAATATCAAATAATTTGACAGGTGGACTAACAAAGAAAATTGGTACAGTCACGAATACAAATACAAACGGATACCCAAAAATCCACCTGAGCTCGTTCAAGAATTTTTTTGGGTCTATTCAAACAAACCGAATTTGGGTCGTAGATTTTTTCATCTAACTGTGGATTTTTGGGCTCAACACAATGAAATAAATTTATGCATAATTTACGCAGCGACTGTACGTCATGGTCAGAATTTCTAATCTAATGGTACGATATATAACTTGTATGGTAAGCAGCCAAAAACCACCTGAGTAACTTTGCAACATTCTGTATACTTGTGTATTTGATATTATCCTAGACGTGCGAGATCCTCGCTGGGTTAGTTTTCGAAATCTAGGTTGAGTAGTTACGTATATCGTATATCATGATCGGGACTAAAAGGGATAGAGTCCAGGTTTCTCAATTAGCAAAAAAATCACAACAGATATAACAACTATTATTTTTACAACAGCACAACCTTGTATTATTTTTTATGTACGGCGTCGTACTTTTAAATTTTTTTAGAAACGTGATGACGGATAGATTAGATCACAGCAACACAAATCCAGAATCAAACGAAAATAACGATAAGAAATAAAGAAACTCATTGAACATTGTGAATTTTAAGAATGCCTTTCTGACTAAATACAGATCCTACCACATGGCAACGATTCAACATTTGATAATATACTTCTCTGAATGGAGAATTGAAACTTGGTGAAAATTTGTTGTTCGTCCTGGATTTGCGTCGAGGATCTTAGTGAAGAAAACGGGTGTTGGATTTGAAGGATCGGCTGATCGTTTTTAGGAGACATGGGAGTTGGGGTGGGGGGAAGGGAAAGTTGGCTGATCGGGACTAGGACGAGGGTGTTTAGGTAACACATCGAGGAACCTAAGCTACGAGACCACAAGACTTCACACGATTTTTGCGGTTGTCCTTTTTACTTTAACTGTCGGTGCAGTATTTAATATAATTCTCGGTGAGACACCACTTCCGGGGATAACCTTACGTCACCACTATCTATGTACAGCAGTCAGCACGAGTAGTCTAATACTTTTTGTACAAGTTCTTCCCGTTTTTACTACACTGGGGCACTACATTTACACTTTGTACAAAGAATAATCACATTTAAGAGTTGCATATTTCTATGTCCATTGTCGTTGTGACACTAAACGGAGAACCTGAAACAAAACAATCTTTTAGTGACACTCTTCAATATAAATAACAACGTATGAAAGAGATCAGATAGTCTGAATCATATTCAGAGGAATACACAAAAGAAAGCAACAACAAATTATTTTTCATGTAGAAATATTTCCTTGCTTTTCTAATCAGAGACAATGAAAAATGAATTCAGATTTTCTTACTGAGATATAGGGTCAGCAGCATTCGTGATCTAACACAAAATAAGCTACTTTGCGGTCGAAAATATAGGGAAAAATAAAACAGAATTTCTTTCGGCAGTTTGGAAGTCAAACTCATCATTTACATTCATGGTTTGAATCTTCTCTCAACTCTACAGATGACGTTTCCGTAAGGGAAGATCACCATGTATTTTGTGCTGTGCATCATTGTTGTTTTTATGTTTCACATAAAAAGTGCTCTTTTTTAAAATTGTCGGTTTATTGCGAAGTGCTTCAACTATTGTGCATTGAATGATTTTGAGCAGATGATGAAGACTTGTAACATTATTTTCAAAGTTACAAAAGTTGCGTGAATAAAAAATCTAAAGCAATCGTTTTCTATTGAAACGATCATGATAATAACGAATCACAATTGAATCACTTGGTAACTACAAAGTTGTAGTTTGTTCCTCTTGATTAATCGATGAATTTATTCCGTTCAGTAACCAACATTTTGATTTCACTGCATATTTCGATAGGATCAAATTTACAATGTTGATACTCTGACCTAAGCAATTTGAAAACTTGATTATTCATAGATGTATTATAGGAATATGACTATATTTGGATGAACTTTTTCAGAATATACTAAAGTACAGTGTTCAGTATGGAGATAAATTGACAGGAGACATTTAGAATGAAATTATTTAAATTTGAAAAGGAAAGCTACGGTATTTTTTTCCAAATGAAAATACTATTTTTATTTCAATGGTTGGTATAGTTGGGGGATTCATCATCAAGTGGTACTCTGAAAATATATATTTATTGAAAACTTTTTGTGATAATTTATTTTCCTCCAATTTGGAGGTACTCCGCAAAATTCAAACATTCACCTTATTTTTTAACAAACTTCGTATTCTCTTTCCGGTGAACTATTCTCAACTTTTTTCCAATTTGAAACATTTCAGAACAACAGCAATAATTACAATTAGATACATTCGATCTGGTACTTAATCCGCTAGATCAAAGTTGCAATTTCGATTATAGAAAATCCCATGATTTACTGTCAAGCAAAGGAAACAAATCACGCCAAATGAAGTTTTGAGTTTTTTGCAATGAAGCATTAATCATTTCCTATTATTACTTCGAACTTAGAAATGCCTTTCATAAAATCCAACTGATTTATAGATTACAGAAAACATTATAACAGTTTCATAATTTCTAATTATTCGGTTGAATAATTGAGGTTAATAATAGTTTGATTCCACAAATATTGTTAGTGTTCAACAGGGTTCCAATCTCGGCCCTACATCAACAGGCCGATAAAATAAAACAATTAGTACATTTATTCGATTTATTACATTGATTAACAAAACAAGTGAAAAGTAGAAAATAAGCTCACCTCACAGGTGATGTCCATAGTATTCGGGGTAATGTGCGTATTGGTTGTGAAAAGCTGGATCTCCTGGCGGTCGGTGCATCATTTGCTGGCCGTCCATCATATATCCCATCGTACCATCGGGACTGTAAGCTCCACTGGGACCTGCGTGGGGAGAAAATACTATTAGTGGTGTAACACGCTGCCCTTCGACTCTTACTGCTGAAGAAACTCCTAGCACCAGCGCAAATAAGAAGAGATTTGGGTCTCTTTAAAATAGCTCGTAATTTTAGGGTTTACCCTTTGAGTTTTAGGAATCCCACGTTGTAAGGTGACACCTTGTTAATCCTCAGCTCGAAAAAGTGTCTACTTCTGAGGGTGATAAAAGATTCTTTTCAAGTTTTGGAGCCATGTAATTCTATTAAAATAAGTCGATTGATTTTGAATGATTTATGAAAAACGAAAAGAATATGGCAAAAGAGATGATTAGGATACAAATACATAAACAGAAATCAACGAAGGTAAAGAGGCAGCGAAAAAAAGAAGAAAGAGACAAAGACGGACAGAGAAAGATAGGGGAGATCACGTAGACTGATTTCAGGACAATTTTTATGTCATATAAAGAGAAAATATCAGACAGTTTGAAGATATTGAAAAAGAAATAAGAAGAGAAAAATCTGAAAGACAGTTCATTGCTGAATAAGGATGAAAAGAAATGAAACAATAGTGAATTTTTATTGCAGTAGGAATAGTCACTATGGAAGTGAATCAAGAAATATGAAACAAAATAACAGAATAAAACTGATAATTGTTTCAGAAAATTAGCAAGAGTACGATGCACATTTGTATCCCGAGATTTTCCAAAGAAAATTATTGTATAATAGTCGCAAGGTTCTGCATTCATTTCCTTCACTTCCACAAAAATAAAGAGCAACAATGATCTGCTATAAACCTCAAAACACATTTTTCAATGTACCATCGCGAGACTTTCCCGGCAAATGTAACTATGTTATGCACCGTATCCGGAGTATATTCATCGGGATCTCTCTCTTCCTCCCTAACCGACCGTAGAGCTGTCACTTGGGCCGATTGTGTGCCTCGCGTGATGGATCGGTCCGCGAGGGTCAATGGCTGCCGCCATTTCTCTTCGGCTGTCTCCAGCAGGAACAGAAAACTCCGAAATCGATAGCGTACGAAAGAACACTCTAACATCGACAGCCATTAATAATCCGCACTCTCGACCTCGCATATATCGAATCAGTCGGTATATCGGGCGGGAAAAAGGAAGTCGATAGGAATCGGTCCATCGAGCCGGATTTGAGCATACAGGTTCTCAGAGTTTCATTGCTATTCGATTCCGGTGTTTCTTTAGTACCAGAAACTAAAACATTGAAATCATTTAAACAATCATTCGAAGCGGATGACGTATACTGAGAACAGCGAGGTTTTGGTATATTCAGGTCCATATAAGTCAGTGTTATTTGACTTTTCTGTCACTTTTGGTGTTGTTAACTTCGTTATTTGTCAACTATGAATATTGATACAAATTTTGTGAGAGGATCCTGTGATAATATACAAAATATTACAGTGTACAAGGCAAGAAAACGACAACACCAACTTGGAATATCAAAGTGAAAAAAATATCCGGATCATCAACAATTCATAATCAACGATATCGCGACTATCTACTAGACCAAAAGAACAAAATATCTCCAAACTGGGAAGTTTATAGAAATGCATGACAAATATGGGTCAGACCAACATATGAATCTCCCAGGAGGACATACTAAAACAATAAATATATTTCCTGCTCTAGAATTTGAGACATTCTAAAAGATATGTAATCAAATATGAGGTTACGAATTCAGTGATTCCGAAGTAACTCAATCACTCAATCATTTTAGAACATGAATGGTATTTCTGGCCTGAGAGTGAACAAAAAATAATAAAATTGTGCCAGTTTCCACGGAGAACATTCGTAACCGAAGAAGTAACCATTCAAACATTACAAACCGTACACAATACCTGAAAGAACTAATACGGTCTACACATAATTTGGTCCTACGAGCCGGATAAAGACCCCATCCCGTTTCTTCTAAAAAACCCACGACGGGTGCAGCATATCGACTCCACCGTACCCACACTAGCATTCTTGGCGAAATAAAAACGTAGATAACCGATCATACAAGACTTTCCACTTACAATTCATATCGGGCCGATTACCTCACTGGGATTGGCCCATATCTCGGTAAAAATGCACGACAACGTTAAGCTTTAATGGAAATCACGATTCATTAAAAAATGTGTGATAAGAGACGCGCGAGGAGCGCCTTTCTCGCTAGTTATGGACGCTGACGTGGATCGATGCTTCTGGTGCAAGGAGGTCGAGTCAATGTTGCGAGTACGAGAAATATGCACTTAATTCCTTGATGGTGTAGAAATGTTGAAACGTGTCTCGAAAATATTAACAAAAAATTGAGTATTAAACACATGACCAGTACGGTTGTGGAGTGGAAGAGAATGGGGGGTTTGAATTCTTCCACACAATTGGTGCTTGAGAACTAGTGACCGGTAGCAGAGCATGTAGTGCTGGATTTTTTTCGGTCATTTTATATCATTTTATGAGTATGATCATTTGTGTACCCATTAATTTCGAGATTGACAGCAGTTTTTTCTTCAACTCCTTCCTGACTTCTCACCCATGTGGTTCTGACCCTCTACAACCGTACTCAACCAAAAAATAAACAGATCTGTGTCATGCTATCTATAATTGAACTTTTCCTTTTCCTCTCGCACATCGCCATGTGTCATATTGCCCGTACTCGTGAAAAATCCAAGCGGAAATTGCACTTACCTGCTCTATTCGACTGGTCGATCATCGGCTGAACTATTCTCCGTCTCGCATTGATGAACCTGAAACAAAAACGGGGTGCGTTAGCAAAACTGTCAACGTTCGTCAAAACTACGTTGACGCAAATGCGATGCGACATCTGAAGCGATTGGGTTTTCTGCTGGCGGATTGGATGCGTGTGCAGTTTATGGACTGGGGAAGATGATGAGGTAACAGGAAAAATTTGCCGAACAGGCGAAATTTGGTTGAAGTAAATATTGAAAATTGGTATTCTGAAGTGAAGCTCGAGAAAGAGACCAAGAACGATTAGAAAAACTACAAAAAAAGGGTGGTTCATCGTCCATGCTCAGAATTTTCCTTGGCGATTGGGATCCTTTACTTTCATGTATTAAATAATTATCATCCTTTTGTTACCGGTAAAATGAAAAATTATCAGTAACTTCCGAAGGAAAGAAGAGAGACAATCAACAGCTATTGATATCAGCTGTGATTAATGAAATAATCATCTGTGGCAGCTACTTGACTGAATTATTGGAGACGTGATGAGATTCTTCTACAGAACAAAAAACATATCTTAGGGAGACAGATTTACAACTGTCTAACAGTTTATTGACTAGAAATTTGTGGATTTGTAAATAGAAATTTATTACACAATTTCGTTGATGTTGAGTTGTGCATTATAAACATTAAACGAATGATTCTCAACCCAACAAGGACTTTCCAACGGTGATCTCTCTCCCATCAAGTTACTGATTTTCGCAGTAGCAACATTGCGGGCATTTCCGAAGTCGCGTATGGGCCGTATTTCGATTATCCCGCATCTAAGGGCTGTAGCGTCCCTCGCGCGTTGCACATAAACAAAATTACTTGGAATTTTGTAGGATCAATTTCCCCCAACCATTAGGGAGCGGAGCGGCAGAACCTCTTCCCACGGCGACTATTACATGGCATCGTTCCCGGGCATGTTATTCATAAAATTGTATAGAAAACGCATTCGGGTTATAGGAAAATGAGAAAATCTGTCTGGATGTTTCGAGAGGATTTCTCGGAATATGTTCGGAAATTATTTTGGGGTTATTGTTACGTGTTGGTGCAGGGTAGTTGAGGGTGAGGTAGCAAGTAAGGGTCACTAATGTTGTGTTGAATTTTTGTTTCAATATTGCAATAGTTTTTGAAAATGAATCAAAATTGAAATGAAGAACGATTTTCATGTCCGAATCATTTTATAACGACTCTTATCTATGGATGGAGAATTATTAGGAATATCTAAAAAATGATCGGTAGATAAGATATAGAAGTCTATTTCTTGGAGGGTAACGTGAGCGTGGTTGGGGCTGCAGATTTGGAATGATGTTTAATTATAGTTTTTGGCTATACGAATTGCCTAAAGTTATTGATAAAAGCTTGGGTCGAGGATTTAACGCTGTGAAAATTGGTATTATAATGTAAAACACATTAATGGGAAAATACAGCTTTGGAAATATTATTTTTTATATTATTTTTGGCTTGAAAATGTTAGGAATTAGTTGTCAGACGATAAAAACGTGGATGATATATATAAAATCATAATATTGTTGGAATTTTCTGGTTCTCTGCATCAAATATCTGAAACTCGATAAAAAATATTGAACATTTTCATACATATTGATGAGTTTTATGAAATATTTTTGATAACTGTAATAACGGGTCTTCCAATGGGAACTTCCGAACTTTCGGCTATTTTGTTGAAGCTGTCAAATTAATTGTCATTCATTTAGTCTGTTTAGCCAAATCAGCATGGACTGATATATCATTCAACAACACTTGAAAATAATGAAATTGTTTCGCAACGACTATTCGCAACGTGGTGGATAAATTTGAGTCCGCTGGTTCAGTAAACGATCGACCAACACCTGTACGTCGACGAAACGCAAGATATACCGAAAACATCGCTGCTGTCTGTGAGAGTTTGCAAGATAATTGGAGGTAGTCAGTAATATAGCTGCAAGAGTTCTGGGTCATTCGTTATGGGAACCCACGTGTGAATTTGAGCAGGTCCATTCTGGTGTTTTTTGGAACTCTGATGTTTTTGGGATTTTCAGAGCCAACTCCTGTACTTTGGAACGAAGCGCGTCTCGTATGAAGTTATCAAAATTGTGACAGATTGAAAAGTTCTAGAACTGCTGTGAGATGCATTGATATTTTTAGTGTAGTATCAAGTTTTTTTCCAGGAATATAAATTCATTATTGCTTATATAACATCAGATCTCATCTAATGTTTGGAATAAGTTTTTGTGGGATATTGGAGAAGCATACAACAATTTCCTCTCCCCATTTTCCTTCTACCAATAAATCCGAAATCCCACCCGAATTTTTATGGCCTACTTATCCTGCCACTTCTAATTGTCCGAACTTTGCCGCCAATTTCCGAAAAACATCTAGCAATAGTCCGCGGCTTCCGATAACGCCGTTACGGCCTATTTACTGGCCATTCCTATGCGCGTCGCGACGTCACTTGCGATCTTCGACGCGGCCAGCGCGACGTTTCGATGATTTGTCGCCTACGTGTCCATCGAAATAGTGCGTGGAACTGACCCCTGGCGGGTAATTACGTCGTTAGCGAATGGTGCGGACGGCATCTGGAGCGCCCCGACGCTCGCAGGGTCAGCCTGTGGACTCCATCATCGGGCGTCAGCTTGCGACCCCGGGCGTTTATGTGCCGGGAGATATTAAAGTCGGAATTTATTGCCGCCCCCGCCCATAAAGACACAGCTCGAGATCTACAATTACTATTTTCTTTATACTCGCGCCACACGTGCGCGAAGGCAGTGGCGGAACGTGCGCTATACATCATTACAAAATAATATAGTTTTCAATGAGTACTATACCGAAGGTTTATTTATTTAGAGGTTTAGTGAATTGATGCTTCAATTTTGTGTTTTCTGGAACTTTAGAATTCAAAAATGTCAAAATAAAAGCACATCAAAGGGAAAAGAAAATAACCATGTACATCATCAACTGAAAGAAAAACATGTTTTTAATAACTGAGCACGTTACTGAAAAGAAATAAAGGAAAAAAACATGTTTGAATACATCATCACGTCTTTTTAGAACTGATGACATCTATCATTGCTGTTAATAATGATACCGAATTACAAGAAATACATTTGGAGTTGACGTTAACGTGTACTGTCATAATTTATAGTCATAATTTAACCAGAGAAAAATATGGATCCAAAGTTTCCTCAGCCCTTTCAAAATAGAAAAGCGGATAGACATTCATTCATTCATTCATCATTCGTCACATCAGCTCTTTGTCCGCCAATTTTCTTCTTTAAGGCGGTTAACATAAAAAACATAGTTTCGTATTTTCTTTGCCTCACTCCCTCATTTTCCACCTCACACGGAAACGAAAAAATGCGTGTAACATATTTTGAAATGTCATTGCTGAATACCCATTGCCCCATTTTTAAACGTTTCTCATTGGGATCGCATGTTAAAACATTAGGCCCCCGTTAAACTCCCATATTTTAAAATGACGTATTTTGAGACATCCTGTACACGTTGAAGAATCGCGCGTTGAAACGATAGAGCCCGTTATATAATCATGTTTTTTAAATGACGTATATTGAGATACTATGTACACGTTGACGTCATATTTTTTCTTTCGCGTTGGTAGCCATGTTTTTTCTTTAACGCTGATAGCCATGTTTTTTCTTTAACGCTGGTAGCCATGTTTTTTCTTTAACCCAATTCTTCATTCATTTTTACTATTAAACCATTATTTTTGTAATTCAGCCACGCCGTTATCTCTTAAATGAATCTACCCGATACTCATTCTATCCTTCTATGCACCGGTTACGTTGCACACGTCTCTTTTCCACTCACTAACGTCATTGCTTCTGTTAGTTGAAATTCTTATGCCACAGTCCACGTATAGCTGATCTACTGTGGACGCACCTTAAAAATACGTCGAGAAAAAACAGTTTTGTTAATTAAGATACCTTGAATATGTCGATCTAGATATTTTCATACGCTATTATACAGTATCAAATAATTTATCCATTAAATGTGTGATTTATCATTTCACTCTAGTCCCCCATTTGGGAAACGAGTAAACAGTGTCAATCGACACTGTGTACGCACCTTTATGGTGCAGCAATCGTCAATTCCCCCTATTTCACTCAACGTAGACTGTCTCTGGTGAATTCGTCACACTAAATACCATCCTTCTTGAGTATACGAGTTCTTTGCACCCCGACACTGTTTCTCGACTACTCCTACACTGGAATTTCGGGCCAGAACCCTTCTTTAATCCTTGCTCGGGCGGCGTGCATAAGTTGTCGCTTGTGTTACGCTGTGATTAATGTTCGTCGAACAAATTGTCTAGAAAAACATTGGATGCGATGAACGCCCGATATCTTTCTCCGTCTGTGAATCTGATATTATTCGTCAGCTGTTTTATTGAACGCTATATTTAGTATCGTCATAAAAAGGGGTTTTCGTTTTACGATGGTATTACAGCGTTATTAGAAGGGTCAAGTGCTCCTTGCAGAAAGCAAGTGATTTTTCGAGCATATTTTTGGTATTGAGGAATGAACGTGGGGAAACAGCCTGAATTCATTGGAAATTAGTTTCAATTATGTTTGTCTATAGTTCTCACAAGCCTCTCTTGTTCTATGGTCTATCTATCATCCGCAATCTGGGATTGTACTTTTGAAAGAGTTTACTCGTTTTCTGTTGATTTTTTGGGTCCTTTGATTGATAATGAATCTGCAGTTCAGTCTCTTAAATTGTTTTCATGAATATTATGAAATAACCTCGTTATGACTAACGTTCACTAGCAAATGTTTTGCAAGATGTTCAATGTGGGCCTTTCAATTTTACGCCTCAATCATTTCTTGATAGTTTTGTAGCCGATGAAATCATAAATTTCGGATTAATCTTCACAGTCTTTATTCTGAAATATATACAACTGTTGTTTTGAAAAGGAGTTCATTTTGATACAAGTGTGATTGAAGTAGGAAAAAACGGCGTCAGGATAATCAACAAGTTCATTGATGGTGTTTTTAAAATTTCTGAA